CAGAAAGACCTTGAAAGGAAACAATGAATCAACATGAGTAGTTGTCTCAAAGTGGCTGTTCCAGTTCATATATAATTAATCCAAGTGAAAACAAGGCAGCCTGCATTGCCAAGATGAACGGCAGGATTCTTCTAGTTCTTATCAACTGGCTGCTTTGCTTTGTTAGGCTGGTTCCTCCCTGTGGTTGTGGTTGCTCACCTGCCCTCTGTTCACAGGTGTAAGAAGGACCAATTGCTGTTTGCCTTGCCAGGCATATGAGAGTAGGAAGATAGCAGAGTGTGTGAGAGAACAGGAAAGTAGGGCTTTATGGGTTTTATATTTCTATTGGGCGTTAGAGTGGAGAAAAATAGATTCACTCGTGAGTAAACAGATATGAGAAGAAATGACTCCATTTCATCATTCTGTTAGGTGATAAGTCTGCAGCCATTTATCAAATGCCCACTAGAAATAAATGTCTCCTGCCATTTTCTTGCTTCTAATTATATCACACCTCTGTATATTTTCAGTTGTTCATCTAAACTGGTTCCTTTTTGTCTTTTGAAAGAGTGAGCTTAGGCAAGAAAAAAAATTGAATGAGGCATCTGACTTTCTTTGGCAAGCCAGCAAAATAATGGTAAAGAACACTAAATTAATTATTGGATTTATAATAACAGAAGAAGCTCACTTTCTTAAATTAGAATGAAAGTCAAACAGCCTCACTTGTATGTTCAGTGGCTTTGAATTTGGGTTTGCTTTTACGACAATACCAGCAGTGTTCTTCCAGTTTTCTAACCCAAAGCATTTACTACACTTTCCTGTCACTCTCTGGGTGTCTCCTTGCTTCCCTGTGTGCACCATGTAAAGGTGGTTAGGACCTTATTCCCTGCTCAGCAGTAAACCTTTCCTGTAACCCTAGAAATCAGGAGCTGAGATTTGTCATTTAGAGATTGAAAACCTACCAGAGCTTTACTTAAACAGGGGGAGGTTTTTACACAGTTTGGTATGACAGTGAATAATGCCATCTCTCCATTAGCAACAGCTCTACCCCAAAAGCCACATGACATTATTCGAGACTACTCCCACACATTCAGCTTTCAATATGACTGTGCCTAATTATACTGCATGGGTAACCAGAAGCAGGGTTGGAGCTTCTGGTAGGCAAGCTTAGGATAACTAGAGTTTGATGGGAAAGTGTAGCAGAAGGTTTGAGGTAGGAAGACACATACCTAGTACAAGGACACAGCTACCAAAGATTTATATACATGACCAGAAAAGATATGATCAAGGTTCAGCTGCCACACCAAGGGATTTAGGGTAGCCTATTCCTGTCAGAGCTATAACTTTCTCACAAGGGTACTTATGGACTGAGGGGGTGGCTGCATCTTTTACATTCACATCCTTCTTTTGGCATTTTCTCAATTCTTCTCTTTCTCACAAGGAAGCTCAGATTCTCATAGCCTGGCCCAGAGTGAGGAAAGGAGGCGTTAAGCCAAAAATCCTATACTACAGCCTTTTAAAACACAGACTTTGTTTTCTTTACAGTTGCAAAGAAGATAGATGGAGAGGTCATGTGCATGATCCTGTCTAACAGATTATCTATAGACAGCTTCCCTTTCCTGCTGTGATTTCAGAAGAAGCCAGCCTCACAAAGCATTGTGTGTGGGGTCAGGCCTGTCTGCATGCATTTGGGTGCTTCCTGGCCTCTGAATTACAGATATATATATATACATATATATATATACATATTTTTTTTTTTTTAAAGGAGGAGGTGCTAAGCTACTCCAGGGCAGGAGCCTCCAGGCTTGCACTCAGACGTGTGAAGCACCCAGTAAAGGCTGCAGTTTGAAGCAGACACTGTTTTAGGACAGTCAAAGATAGGCAGAGCTAAAAAATAAAGCATCTGAATACTTTTTAAGCCTCACAAGCACATGTCCCAAGGTGGTCTTACTTTCGATGGAATTTGGTTACAAGGCTTTCACCAGGAAGTGTCTCATTGAGCTTGTGTGTCATCAGCAGAAAACTGGACAAATGTTCCCTGAGACACTCACAGTAGCAGTGAACTCCTGATGTGAGATACATATGGATGATACCAGCAAAAAGTCCAGCATCCTTTTTAGCATGGGAAGTGATAAAAATAAAATTCTCTGGGAATCCCTGTCTGTCTACACAAATCCAACATTCACAGGGGCTTTCAACATATGACCAACATATACTAGACAAGCACTTAAAAATAGAGTATTCTGCAGCAGTTTCTTGAAGTGACCCATCCACTTGTACATCTCCAAAGCAATCTTTGGAATTATTTACAGAATGCTATGAACTTGTAATCATCTCTGAGATGGGGAGGGTATCTCATGTCTTAAGGGAAAGGTGAAATTCCATCACTTTTTGTTATGCAAATATTTTGCAGTAGGGAAGAAATTCCTTTGTAGCCTTTCAAAACAGATCATGAGATATAATTACAGTAATTTTACTGCACAGCTACAAATACAAGCACATGAAAGGCGTGTGGGCAGTCCTGCATGGCTGCATGGCTAATAAGGATGGAGGATTCATAGATGCTCAGCTACCAAAGGTTGGATCGACTCCAGTCACGAACACAGCAGCAACAAGCTGCTGTCAGAGATATGATGAAAAAGATCTCATCCCATCTTTATATTTCTAGTGACAGTAATCTATAATCTTGGAAGGTTATCCTCTGTTTAATTCCCCCACCCCTCCCCCACCAGGAAATTGTGTCATATTCTTTCAATGCCTGAATTTTTCTTTTCCTTTTGTCAATAGTATGAGTTTTCCCTGTTCTTGGTTTCTTTTATGTGTACAAGTATTTATACTTGGCGATTGAGTCACATCTCAACCTCTTGTCAGTGAGCTAAATAAGTTGAGCTCCTTAAGCTTCAAATCTCAAGACCTGTTCCCAGGCCCTGGAGGTACTTGTAACCCTCTTTTGAACTCTTTTTCTTGCTGTCCTTATTATTTCCATATCTTTTGGAGGTGTGAATGAGAACGTGAGATTAGGTGTAAAAGGTCAGACCAAAGATGTATCCAGACTAGAGTCCTTCCTCTGCTAGCACTTCCTAAAGATTGCTAGGGAAGATTACTGAATGGAAAAAAATTACCAAATGGAAAAAATGCTTTCCTCCCTGATACCTACTCGAGTATCCAAGTGATCTGCAGCTCATTGTGCTGCGAATGCTCTTAGCTTGATTCAGGATCACTTCCTATTTTCTATTTCATGTTCATAGCATTATAGAGTGACTCGGATTGGAAGGGACCTCAGAGATCATCTAGGGAGATAAACTCCCTGCCGTGGGCAGGGCTGCCACCACCAGATCAGGCTGCACAGGGCCCATCCAACCTGGACTTGAATGTTTCCATGGGTGGTACATCTACAGGCTCTCTGGGCAGCCTGTGCTGGGGCCTCACTGCCCTCTTAGTGGAAAATTTCCCCAACATCTAATCTAAATCTTTGCACTTTTAGTTTAAAACTGTTCCCCCTTGTCCTATCACGATCAGACCATGTATAAAGTTGATTTCCCTCCTGTTTATAAGCTCCCTTTAAGTACTGGAAGATTGTATGAATCCAGGGACTGCCTTAGCATGTTTTTTTTTTTCCCATTACAGTGCATCAGTAACTTACTTTAGACTGCTCTCTGGGAAAATTTTTAAGTCCTTAAGGGAATCACAGCTTTCTATGACAGCTTACTGTCTCCGGCAACCAAAACCAACAGTGCTGGAGATAGTGCTTAGTACACAAGACCCTTCAAACTAGCCACTTGCCCATGCCTTTCAGGTTCTTATCTGGAAAACCACTGTGTGTTATCTCCCACACAGGCTGTGTTGAACATGAGTTTTTCTAGAAAAAAACATTCTGCACTCCCAACTTGCTAGTTAGAGTTGCAGAAGATGAGATATTTGTGTTGGACTCCTTCCAACCCTGTCTGCATTTCAACTCCCGCTGGGATAGTAATCCTTGCTTTCCAAGAGGTCCATGCAGTGGGCTCCAGCCTTGTATAATATGTCTGCAGCAAAGTTACCCGAGAGCTTTCAGTGATCACAGTGCTCTGAAAAGTGCCAAATCTACTTGATTAAATACAAGTATGCAGTCAGCTCCTGGATTTTTTTATTTTTTTTTTTTTCTGAAACACCATCATCTTGAAAAGGAAAATAAAACAAAAAACATTGTTGACAATATTTCTGAAAGAAAGCTGAAATTCTTTCATAACGGCATAATTACTCCAGGTGTTAGGGCTTTAAAAATAACAGCACTACTACTGAGGAAGGAATGAGTTGGCAGTCCTAAGGCTGCCTTTATTTCCAAGGACTTCCAAGTGAGTGAAATCTTGTCATGTTTGCATCTCCAGGGATGCAGGTGTACTCCCCCCCCATCACCAATCTACTTCTCTCCTCCATGCCATCCCACTCCTACGTACTTTCTCTGGTCTGCAGACATGCACGCACACACACAATGGCACAAGCACACATCCTAGCATTTTTCATTCACAGCCAGACCCTAAGCACAGGACATAGCTCCTCCTCTGTATGTCCTTATCCCAAGCCAGCACACGCAGCAGACCCTGTGCTTGTCCTGCCACAAAGCGCATCTGGTCCTGAAGATGAGGCTCTGAAATTCCCCCTTGTCCAGACCCTGTAGGTGCATGAGTGCTTTTGAGGGGGAGCTTCAGCAGATGCCTTTTGCTGGGGTTTAGGAGCAGACAGCTAGCTGAGAATGTCTGAGCTGCTCTGAGCTGCTGGAGTGTTTGTGATGGATTATATTTATACTTCTACTGGTTCAGCCTTTGACAAACCATCCTATGCATCTGTTATATTAGAAGGCTTCAATCTAATATTTTTTGAGCTTGGCATATGGAAACATGATTATGTCATCTTTATTTGTTTTTATCCATTCAGTCTCACTCCTCCATTCTTCCCTCTCCCCACCATCTATCATTTAAAGATCCACTAAAACATTACATGATGGGCTTTACTCATCACTGTCTATTTTTCCCCTGTGTCAACAGACGCTTACCCCAATTCTGAAGTGATCTATGTGTGGACCAACAGCACCACAACCTCTGTGGTTGTGGCTGAAGACGGTTCCCGACTTAACCAATACCACCTGATGGGACAAACTGTGGGAACTGAGAACATCAGTACCAGTACAGGTGGGCAAGATATTTCCGAGGACAATGGGGATGTGTTTGTAGAACATAGGATCCTGGGGAGAGTAGGACGGGTTCCTGGCTTCCTGGCAGTGGCGTTACAATGGAGAGGGCTGCATGCTGACTGTGAGGCCCTTCACCAGGTTGGAGAGCCCTGCAGCCCCCGCTGTTTATGAGGAACACTGGGAATGCTGTAAGCAGCCAGTTGGCAGCTGCCTTTGCCCAGTCTTGCCAGCACTATTGCTGGAGTGCTTCCCTGGGGGAGGAACCACCCACAGGCAAACACCACCTACGCACTTGATCCGTTTCAATCATCGCTTTAGAGAGATTTGCCTGATGAGGCCAATGCGGGGTGGGGGGGGAGGGAATGGAGGGCAGGTGGTGGCGGTGGCGTGGCCATGCTGCGTGTCTGGGGACCCCGCGGCAGCAGGAGGGGAGAGCCAACCCTGAGGATTCCCGTTCCCTGCCCAGCTGGATGTGGAGGCGCCAGATGTGGCAGCATTAGAGAGGCAAAGAAGGCTTAATCCTGGCCTGGGCACCCACGTGAGCTGCCCCCCTGCTTCGTAAGGCTCCCACGCAAGGGCAGCCCTGGGCCTGGGGGAGTCGAGGCTGGAACAGGCATCACGTGGACCTCATAAGACGGAGGCTTAAACAAGTTACACAATGCATTAGTCTACTGCAAGATCTCGGTGGAGCGGGGGGCATCCTGCAGCCAAGAGAAGTGCAGTTAGCACTGGGAAAGCCAGTCAAATTGCCTGCTGTCTTCTGGAGATGCATCTCATCTCTGGTCGAAAATGGTGAGCTCTGAGTGAGGGCAGGACTGTAGAGGATGAAGTGTAAATTAGATTAAGAACCCGTTACTGTCCATGGAAAATTTAGTTGTGAAAACAGTCAGGACTACGCTCACACACAAAGTTAGTGGAATTGAAGCATCAAGGTGCATAACACTTTCTGCTCAAACTGTCCCAACGTGCCCAATAAAGAGAGAGCAGCCAAGTTTGCAGCTTGCTTTTTGAGCATAAAACAAAGCTGAGGAAAGCTTCTCCCAGGCAGCTTGAAACAGAACTACCATGAAACAGAACCATCACCTCCATCTTTCAGAGCTTATTCCTTCCTTTTTCCCTATTCAGAAGTCACGGAGCTATTGCTAAAACAGATTCCTAAAGACAACAGACACGTGTAGAAAGAGTCAGGGCAGGCACCGTGTAGAAAAAGGACAAATAAATAATGCTCTCTCCAGTTAAAAAGCAAAGAAAGACACATTTTTCCTTACCAGTTTACCATCATGGCCGCGTTGTTCTCTGGAATGAATGGCAGCTCCCCTCTTGCCTTCATCATGGCCAAGAAAAAGATCCAGAGGACGTAGCGAGGCATCTTCTACAAGCTTGTCCTGCTCCTCAGAGCAAGAAAACAACCCAGCCCTGGCAGTGCCTGCTCCAGTGTGTCAGCTCCAGGACCCCGCCAGCGCGCAGCTTTGCCTGTGGGAGCTCCCAGTACTCCACAGCCCACGGGTATGGGGCACTCTTCAGACAAAGCCCGAAGTTTCTGCCTGGTAGCCTCTTCCCTCCTGTATCCTAAGATTTAGGCTAATAAATGCTTGTTTTCCGACGTCAAGATTTTATATTAATGTCCTGGGTTGCATCTGGGCTGACTGGATTCTGATTGCAGGGTGGATCACAAAGAGCAGGACACAGATTGTAACCGGGGATTAGCAAAATACAAAAATCCGATTTTGCACAGGGAAAGCATCAGTCAGCAGTGGATTTTCTGGACTTCATCAAGCTCGTGGTAGGCCAGTAATCAGGGTTACTTGTGAAGGGCTATCTGAGACATTTCTTCCTTCTATTGCATTGTTGAACTTAAAAAACAAAGTAATTGCTGCATAAATCTCACTGCTGGGATCTTTTATGGTTTTGTTTGTTTGTTTGTTTGTTTGTTTGTTGATACCCAAGTCAAACTGCATGGCCTTAGCAGTTGCATAGGTGAAATATTTGCATATGTCACAAGATGTTTATGCTTCTCTGTCTAAAAGATTTCTTTTTAAAATGGAAATGCTGACCCTACACAAGTCTGTTGGGATTGTGCTGATTTTGTACCCAAGCTGTTAAGTTTAGCTGTCTCCTCAGAAAAATATCTTTGCACTCCCAATTCACCAACCAGTTTGGAAATCATGACCACGTTAGCCATGCCACAGAAAATGGCTCTGATATATTCCACCTGTGTGGTGGTTTGTTGAGCCACAAATATTATTATCCCCAAATATTATTCCCCCTGAGACGATATTTGTCATCTCACACTGCTTCCAGCAGTCCCAACATCTGCTGTGTCCTGCTGTTGCAGTGCTGAAAACACTTTGGGTCCATGTGGATCCTGCTGGTGTCTGCAAATGATTGCCCAGTTCTGTTCCCCAGATCCAGAATTTCTCATCACTCACTTAGGTTCTGCAGTGCCATAAAACAAAACAAAAACCCACTCCTTTCTTTTCTGCCAGCTGGAGCCCAGGCTATGAAATATCCAAAGCCTAAACAATAAAAGAAGCATTCAGCCCTTCATTCTGCGCTGAACAGTTTGATTTTTCCTTGAGATGAAGGTTTCATGTGCAGCACTATCAAAACAGCACAGGCATCTCTTGAGGACCAAAATGTTCTGGATGTCAGTGTGGACAGGGACTGCTACGTCACAGACCTGGTGTTGGGGTCATGCCAGAACAGTTGTTGGTACACCTCAGCCCAGGCAGATAAGGTAAACAAACAAACCGAGTGGCTGGCCTATTTTTGTTTAAAAAAAAAATATTGAATTGCAGCACAGTGATGTTGGAAGAATGCAGGAAAGATCCTGAACGTTTGTAAGCACCATCTTCAGAACTCCATCGCCTGGATACTGAAAAACCATTGCAGCAGCTTTTAAAGGCAGCACAGTAGCAGAGCTCTGTGAAGAAATGCTTCATTCTTGAGCTTTTCATCAGTGCTAGATTTGTTATTAGAGTTGTTTTGGCAGTGGTGAATGGACTCTATCAGGTGCAGTATTTTCATCTAAATGTGCTGCACAAAACTATAATAAAAAATTAGCTCTTGCTCAAGAAAGCTTATGGTCAAAGAATAAACTGCGGCCTTACAGAAGTAGGAGGGAGCTTTGCCACTCCAACAGAGCCAGGATTTTATTCTCCATAAACAAAAGGCGAACTCAGGCAACTTCTAGAATTGCTTTAAGCAGTGGTCCCAGGACTTAAAAAAACAGCTGTGGGGTTTTTGCCAGCCCCAGGTCTGCTGGGGGAGACATCCTTCATCCTTCGTGCAGGCATTTTAGAGACAGCATGGAAAATAGAAGACGGCAGTTGGGAGAAGAGGAAACACAAAATCAGGTGATATCATTATTTCAGTGGAGACAAGAGCTCTGGTAGGTTAAAGAAAATGATAAGGTGAGAATCAGCCACAGAAGATGGTCAAAATGCAAGTGCTTATTTTCTGCCTTTTTAAAAAGGAAAATATGAATCCTGTTGCTCTGCTGAAGCTGTGTAGATTTACTTTATTCCAGCTCGGAAAGCATGCTGTCAAAATCAATAATGCACATCGTCACTCCTTCGTGAGCAGGGAGAATGGAACTCACACACATCACAGCGCAGCAGCAGCTCAGAAGCAGATTACCGGCACGTAGATCCTGCTGCTCCTGGTATATTTTTTTGGTAATCCATAAACTGAATGCTCCTAAATAAAGAACAAGTGGGGTTTTTCCTGAGTCTGAGGTATGTTCAGCATCCCTGGTTCAAAATTACACTAAATGAAAGGGAATTAGACATCACTTCATGAGGATTTTCTCCTCAGTTTCACAGCATCCCCTGTCCATCTCCACATCCCTCATCAGGGAAACATTTCACCAGAAAATCAGACTTCAGAAGAAAGCCATAAGACAGAGATAGGCTGGCAGGTAAGGCAGCCTGTGCTATCCCGGTCTTTCAGCCTAAAATCTTCAGCATGAATGAGTCTGTAAACTTCATGCAGAACAGATCTGAGCACCTCAGGCAGCTATACCTGCAGAAAACCTCTCACTGTAGACCTATTGTCCATTAATTAGCCGTATTGTCACTTAGCAGTAATCTGCCAAATCTAACCACTTAGCAGTGCTGGCTGCAACTCACTGCAATTCACTCTGTAGAATCAGTCTGTTATGTATTTTCCTGTAGGGGCTGATCTATGGAGGATAACAGCCCATTCTTGCAACAAGAGGTTATAGCCAATCATTTAGCTTAAAGTAGTTAAGGTCTGCATTCGGCTCATTCTTTAGAAAATATGAAATACACACCCCAGAATTTCCAGGATCTGAAAAATTGGTAAGTCAAAAGGTTGTTTTGTTTTGTTTTGTTTTACTCTCACAGTGCAATATACATTTTGGTGTGGACATTCCTCTGATTTGTCAGTATCCAGCTGAAAAATGCATGCTTTTAGATTAATTTGATGTCAGTACGAGTGGAGATCTGCTACAGCCTGGAGGAGTTTGATTGGCTTTTTTGATTGGCTTTTATTCTTATATTTGATTTTAACTCCCATTTTTTCCCAGAAAACAAACCAAAACAAAACAAAACAGTATGCTGCCCTCAGATAGCAAGATTTTGGCTTTGGGGAGCTGTTACCATCAATGAAAAGCCTTCAGTAACAAATATATGGTTTCACAGGAACAGTGTGAAAGAACTGCTTGAGTTGTTTTTTTTTTTTTTCTGAACCGTAAGGGAAGGTGACAGCTGGTCTATCTGCTTCAGAGTGCATTTTTTGAGGATTGTATTGAAATTCAAAGGGCCTGACAAAAGCCTGATTAAGGCAATGCTGTGAATTTGGCATATAAAAAAGACATGGAATTTAGCGCTGCTGTAGCAGCTTTTAGCGAATTCCCCCCTGCAGTCAGTATAATATTAATTGCACAAGAGAACAAGACATGGCACAACATCTGTCCAGAAAGAGATTATCTTTCCAAGAGATAAAGCATAGCAAATTCCAGGAAAACTCCATGCACCAGTAGGTTGGTTTTGTTTTTGTTTGTGTTTCTAGAGGAACAGTTTAATGGCTTTGAAAATTCCAAGCGACAATATCAGTATCAGTGGGCAAAGCATAAATTCTTGCAGCACCGACATTAGGACAGTCACACACAGTCACTAAAGTATGGGGCATGGGGAGTGTCAGGACCCAAGCGATGGGTCGGCATTAACAGTTCCCTAATGAGGTTAAGTCCTGCTGCTAAATCAGGTTTCTAAGTGTAGGAGGCCTTAATCGTTCTGACAGGACAGTTTGTGGGACCAAGTCAGAGCAAGGCAAGAGTGAGGCATTGTCAGCAATCCAGATTTGTCATGCCTATCAACACCAGGGCATGCCAGGTACATGAAAGTATGGCAGGTTTTTGGTGCAGTAGTCATTAATTGCTGTCTTCTGCTTTTGGGGACTGAATGTGAAGAGCAGCAGTATGTAGCAGCACCTCTGTCTCTTGGTATGGCACAGGACTGACATCCAGGCATTTTTCATGCAGTTAAGACTGGCTGAATGGTAGCCTCACAATGGGAGAAAGGGGGAGCTGCTGAAAACCTCAAATCAGTAAGCCTGCTTTACTTTGGCATATATGCATTTTTCTTCCCCTAGGCGAATACACCATAATGACAGCACATTTTCATCTGAAAAGAAAAATCGGTTATTTTGTCATCCAGACATACCTTCCCTGCATTATGACTGTGATCTTATCACAAGTGTCGTTTTGGCTGAACAGAGAATCTGTCCCTGCTCGGACCGTCTTTGGTGAGTACCTCGCCCTCTTGCAGCATGGGTAAGGAAGGGGCTTGTTTGTGGAAGTGATCTTCTGTAACAAACCCACAGTGCTTATTTTTGCTTGCAGTGTTATAGGTGTCCCTGTGTTCTCTTCCAGTTTAAACTCAAAATCAATTTCAAAAAAGTGTGGGCTTTTTGGTAAAATTGTGACAGAAATCGCACTGTAATCAGTTCTGTGAAGGTTGAGGATGGAAGACTGAAGGAACAGATTGTTGTGATTTGTGGGTTCTTCTTTCCTACTCAGATAAAATATGTGATGGTTTAGAACAAAAAGCTATACACATTATGATAGTGCATACTCTAGTCTAAACAGATTTCACTTCAAAACATTGTGTTCATCTGTGTTTCAAGATGTTTATCCGGGAAAAGCATGTAGAGGTTAATTAGTGACAGTTGTCTATATTACCATCAAACAAATTAATGATTTTGCATTTAGAAAATGTATATTTACTACAGACAGTATCATGGAAAATCCTTTGGGGTCTCTTACCACTAGAAGGTTGCAAAAAATGAACAGAATCCTAGCTGAAGGTTTGTGACATACAGGATTCCCACTAGATGAGAAACAAGGGGAATGGGAGCTACAATGTGTGTGGAACTTTGATCAAGTGTTCCTAAAAGAGCCATTCATCTGTAGGAGCCTACTGAAATCAGTCAGCACCTTTGATCAGAAATCGGTTCAGCAACCTGTATGGGGGGAATACTGGTGCCAGCAGCTCACTGCAGGCTAGCAGTGCTGATTTTACTTACCTTCACAAAGGTGTAACTGAGTGCTCATTCTCATCCTGCTGAGACACCCCTCCCCATATGGCAGGGGGCAGCTCTGTTGTCTGCTGACTTCTGTGGAGAATAAATAACAACTGACAACTACATCCATACAATCTCCACGTGGGAAAACAAAAGCCATAATCCTACTTTATGGTGGCAGCTGAATGGGTCGATCGCTGATTTTATAATGTACCAGTTAACAAGTAATGCTAAACATACATACCATGCATTGGCAAAATACCAGTGAGATTTTAGGTTGTATAACATTTATATTTGTGTTATCCTTAAAATTATACTTTTAAGTACACTGTAACTAGAGCTAACCAGAACATCACATGAGTAAACAGCTGAGGACCAATGCTTTTATTTTTATTTCACCAGCAAAGTATATCATTCTTTCTGACCAAAGTATGCAAGCACTGATTTCCTTCACATGGCCTTCCTAATTCTCCTGCTGAATTGCAGCCCTCTCATAACTTTTGGGAATCTTGTAAGAGCTGTAAGCGTATAAACAGAAGGGGGAAAGACTGTTTACAAGGGTGGATAGTGACAAGACAAGGGGGAATGGTTTTAAACTGAGACAGGGGAGGTTTAGGTTAGATATTAGGAGGAGGTTTTTCACACAGAGATGGTGATGCACTGGAACAGGTTGCCCAAGGAGGCTGTGGATGCCCCATCCCTGGAGGCATTCAAGGCCAGGCTGGATGTGGCTCTGGGCACTTGGTCTGGTGGTTGGTGACCCTGCACATAGCAGGGGGGTTGAAACTAGACAATCATTGTGGTTCTTTTCAACCCAGGACATTCTATGATTCTATGATATCTACCAAGCTGATCTCTGCCTCCTTATTTTTTTCTTTACAGGAGTGACAACAGTCCTCACCATGACCACCTTAAGTATCAGTGCCCGCAACTCTTTGCCAAAAGTGGCCTATGCTACTGCCATGGACTGGTTTATAGCTGTCTGCTATGCCTTTGTATTTTCTGCATTGATTGAGTTTGCAACGGTCAACTATTTCACCAAGAGGAGTTGGGCATGGGATGGCAAAAAAGCCCTGGAAGCTGCTAAAATCAAGGTGCTTATCTCACATGTCTTAAGTACCTAAAAGAAAAAGCAGTTGCACAGTGTTGTTCACATAACCTCTAGCATGGTTGTCACCTTCTCTGTGACAAAGGCATTTTGGCTGGCACTAGGCCACAACCTCCCCAGCAGCAGGGCCAGTGGCCCTGACAAAAGCAGCTGCTAATGTGCCCCATGGGTTCAGGTCCAGCTGGCCTCCCTTCATTACCTCCGATGTCAGGAAAGTTTAGCTTGAGTAAGGGCTATGACATTGAGACAGAATCAGCTGTTTGGGACTCAAAGGCAGAGCAGCCCACAGAAATTTGTTTTAGCATGATGGATTACAGCGCTTAGGTGTGGAAGTTTGCATCTTGAAAACATGTTTCCACTTTCTGTTCCTGCGATCTAACATTCTGGTCTTTTCACAGAAGAAAAAAGAGCGCCAGTTGCTGGGAAATAAATCAACAAATACATACAGCACTGGGAAGATGACCCCTGCCCCAAACATGCCAAAGGACTCGGCCCCTTCCGTCATCTCAAACGCTGTTCCTGCTCCAGTGAAGTCTGTGGAAGAAAAGCCTGCCGAAAGCAAAAAGACTTACAACAGCATCAGTAAGATTGACAAAATGTCCCGGATAATTTTTCCAGTGCTGTTTGGAACTTTTAACTTAGTCTACTGGGCCACATATTTGAATAGGGAGCCTGTTATTAAAGGTGCCAACTCTCCAAAATAAACTGAAGGACTGTAAAGCCACACATGAGCCATACTTACAAAGCAGATGCTACCAAGGAAAATTTGAGATCCAGACCACTTTCTACATTTGGGCAATATTCTTCAGGAAGTTTTTTGCATGTTTAATAATATGTACAAATAATATTGCCTTGATTGTTTCTACATGTAACCTCAGATGTTTTGGAGACGATTATGTTACTTACAGCAATGGATCTTTATAAAAGATCAGAAGGCATTGAACATGGCTTCTTTGCTGCTAAGTATCTTGCATTGATAGTTTACAAATAAAATAAGTTATATTTTTTAACTGTTCAAGTGTACTACATATCGTGGTTTTTATACTTCAGATGTACAGTCATACAATTGTAGGCTTAACCTCTATTTTACAGAAGAGCTCCACTGTTGTCATCTGATAGGTTACTATGAATAATGCCAGTTGTGAATGTGCCAAATTATTAAATGTAGGGCTATGTTTGAGCACCTTTACTGGTGATAGGTAGTGCATTACTCCACAGGAAAACAAAACAAAACAAAACAAAACAAAAAACCCACTCAGCCCTGTTTTCATTAATAAAAGTTGATATGATGCATTAAATCCTAATGGGGCTATGCTGATTTTCACTGCTTTTGAGCCTCTAGCTTGCAGTGAGGGAGCAAGATGCTACTCTTGTAAATAAAGGTGGTGGAATCTTGCCCTTAAAATAAAATAACGTTTGGTTTTTGCATTCCAAGGGAATCTTCTCAAGTGGTTTTCAGTATTTATTCCAAAAAATAGAGATATATTGCATGAAATTAACATAGATTAGGAACATATCTGTGCAAATAAAACTTTTGACAATGGCAGTAGACAGTTTTATTAAGGTAAAGTAACTCATGTGTGGAGGTTTTCCCAGAAAGATTGTGTTATATTAGCAGAGACAAACAGTAAAGAATTACAGTAATTCTGAAATAATTAATTGGTTCCCACAGTGAAAACCAATCAGACGATACTAAGGTGTGTGATCAGGGGAAAAAAAAAAAAAAAAAAAAAGGAAAGAAAGGATGTGCTTCATGACAGCAAGGTATTTCAGTGGCAATTCTGACAGGAAGGTGTTTGTACTGTCCATCTGAAAATTTTCTATAAAATGCCTTGCTGCTGCCAATGTGTTCTGCTTTCACAATGAATGAGAAAATGCAACCTGAATTTTCAGCTCTTTCCTCCTTGGCATCTTTCTTTGTTCCAGAAGCTTTTGTAATTTAATCTTAATGTTTAAATAAAAAAGGTGTTCAACACTTAATTGCAAAATGTCATTCTTTTACCGATTATCATTTTAGAGACCGAAAAAAAAATCACCACTGAAGCTAGAAGAAGGAAAGCACATGTATATGTAGTGAAGCAATGTGTGTGCACAGTACATCCTCACTGTTACTTGGAAAGGTATATGCTGAGTGAGGACAGTGAAACAGGATGTTTCAGAACTAGACGCTATTTTGCCATGGAGCATCAGCCTTGTGTTCTGTTTGGGACAGAGAGTAGAACTTGGTGCTCTGCAACATTCCCTTTGCATGTCACAGCTCTCCTCAAACTCACACAAGGTCTCTTCTTAAGGGTTGGGTTTCTGAGTTTCTATACTTGCGAGCAGTGTCATATAGATGCCCTGTGCCTCTTACTTATCATGAACAACCTCCTCTTGGCTGCTTCCACAGAAAGTAACTGCCCTGGCCAGACTCTTGTCCCAGCCCTGGGCAGCTACTCTGCATGTGTCTTTCTGCAAAAGCAGGCTTCTGTGCAGGGACACCCAAGCAGCCTTTTAGGTCACATGGTACTTGTGGCAGTGGCACCCAAGTGCTTCTGGGACAATACAGGGGCTGTACTTACTGTGTGGTTGAAAGCTATATGCAACCTGTGAATCTATAGAGGACACTTTTTCCAGAGCCGTTTTGTCTGCCCTGGAGGTTTCTTGATGCTTCTTGTTTTTGCTCACACCCAACTCTGACTCTGACCCGTCTTAGCATCACTTTCCAGTTTCCTTTGCTGAAGCTCTGAATCCAGCCACTTTCATGCCCATGTGGAGTCTCCTTGCCTCCACTGACTATGGAATGACCTGCGGACAGTGAAGCTGCACGGTTGCAGGATCAGGCCCTTTACTTTAGTAAGCAATGTATTGAAGTTTTCCTGATGTGTAACGGGACTGACAGTTGACTGCCAAAGTTATGACACCACACAACATTTTGTCACTTCCAGGGATAAATATCACTTCCATTTATGTTAACTATTGCTTTCTGCATTTGAAGGTAAAAGCAGAGAATAGCGGTCAGGGCTTGTTCTGTTACTGTGGATATGCCAAACCATGTTGAAAATTCCTGAAGAAGCTGTCTGCCTTTCATTTCCCAGATAATCACACGCATTCTAGTCCTTGCTGAGAACTGAAGTGACAGAAGAAGCAGCAATGGTCTCCCAGCGAGTGCTGCTGCCTGAGCAGTAGGAGATATCCCACAGCTTGGGAGGTGTTCCACTGAGCCCATCAATTCCAGGCTGGAATGCTGAAAACCAATGGCCTCATGTTGCCTAACACCCTACAACTGCAATGGAACACCAGGGTGGGATCAGCACTGTCAGGAATTGCACTGGCCTGCTGGGCTGCCCCTGCATGGAGCCCAGTGCTTCGGGCACGGCTCCCTCCCAGCTCAGTCACAGCCAAAGGGATTAATGAGCAGGGATTGCTTTGTCGAAGGGATTTTCCTGTAATGAGTTCACAAGAAAGAGTTGAAAAGTGATTTGTCACAACAATCCAGCACTGGAGTATAAGTGCATGCAATCCTATTGCCAAATTTCCTCACTTGTACCTATGAAGAGTGAAAGAACAAGTCAAATACAACGGAAAAGGTTTCTATTTCAAATATTTGAGCTGTGCCAGCTGATTCTGAGGATGAATTCAGGCAACAATGTGTTTTCAAATCGTAACCCTCCTCAGTTACCTTGAATTGCTTTCTGGTTTTTGTAAACGGAATATGCCCTCTGTGGGATAACTAAATGAATTTGTACAAAGCTAAGAAAGAAATGATTTTTTGAAATAATCCTCCCTCTCAAAAATTCTTGCTTAACATATAAATTAAACCTTCAAGGAAACTGAATGAAAGTGCTTTGTTACTCAGGCAAGATGAAGGCAGCATTTGAACAGCTATTTGTTTTTTAAATTTGAAGATAATGGCTTTTGCAATAAGGATATGTTTCCCCTAACACCCTTGCTCCTCAGATTGGAACTGGCAGTTCAGAGGAACTTATATGGCTTGATAGCAGCGCTTGATCAAATTGCTTGAATTCTTTCTAGCTTTTTGTGAAATTTTGTTTCACTACATCACTGAAATATGGCCACTGGGGTGTAATGGTGTCTCAGACTGCATCCTCACCTCACTACTTTTGCATCTTCTGCTATTTGGACATTCTTCTCTATATGGACGGTTCTTCAATTCTAAGTGAAAAAGAACGAAAAGAGGTTAGATGTTACAAAGTCCAAACAACTTAGAATCATAGAATGGCCTGGGTTGAAAAGGACCACAATGATCATCTGGTTTCAACCCTTTGCTGTGTGCAGGGTCACCAACCACCAGACCAGGCTGCCCAGAGCCACATCCAGCCTGGCCTTGAATGCCTCCAGGGATGGGGCATCCACAGCCTCCTTGGGCAACCCGTTCCAGTGCATCACCACTCTTTGTATAAAAAACTTCTTCCTAATATCTAACCTAAACCTCCCCTGTCTCAGTTTAAAACCATTCCCCCTTGTCCTATCACTATCTACCTTTGTAAACAGCCATTCTCATTCCTGTCCACATGCTCCCTTCAAGTACTGGAAAGCAACAATGAGGTTTTCCTGGAGCCTTCTCTTCTTCAAGCTAAGCCATCTCAGTTTCCTCAACCTTTCCTCACAGGAAAGGGGAGGTGCTCCAGCCCTCCTCTGGACCTGCTCCAAGATCTCCACATCCTTCCTGTACTGGGGGCCCCAGACTTGGACGCAGCACTCCAGATGGGGCCCTACAGGAGCTGAGTAGAGGGGGACAATCACCTCCCTCTCCCTGCTGGCCACCCCTTCTTTAATGCAGCCCAGAACACAGGTGGCCTTCTGGGCTGCAAGCATGCACTGCTTGCTCATGTCTAGCTTCTTGTCCCCCAGGAACCCCAGTCCTTCTGCACAGGGCTGCTCTCAAGGTGTTCTTTTCCCAGTCTGTAACAAAGCGGAACTCCAGCTGCTCGCAACAGCTTTGGTCTCACAGGACCCTCACTTAGCTTCTCGCTCAGCACAGGCTGCTAAAGCCCAGCTCTGGCCAGGGAGTACTCAGTCTGTGAGCCCTATTCCCTCTCTTTGCATTTCCCCCTTGATTATGGGAACCAGCTCCCTGCATGGTTGCTGTTGCGACAAGAAGTACCACAAAGGGTTTAGAGGTTTTTTCACCCCAGCATCCCTCGGGGTGAAAATGCAGTCACACAACGAAAAGTAAATTAAAGAGCGGATCTACTTCATTGTGCAGGAGAATATAAACATTTTAGTCTCATTACAGTGTGTAATAAAGTGTTCTTTTATTAAAATGCATGCTGGGTAATTATAATCCTTGAATACGTAAGTTGAAAAGGCAAGAGCAAGGTTTAAAGATAAAAGAATGCGAGTAGGAAGGAAACCATGGTCAGCAATACGGTGCACCGAAGACAAGAGAAAGGAAATCTTAAGCATCGCCGCCGCTCCACAGCGGGTGGAGGCCGGGGAAGCCCAGCAGGCAGTCGCTTCCCGCCGCCGCTCTTCCCAGCGCCGCCACCAGAGGACCCCGCTGCCGCCGGGGGACGCGGCGGGGGCGTGGGCAGAGGCGGAGCAGCACCGGGGAAGCCGCCCCCGGCAGAGCGCTGCGGGGGCTCGGCCCGGCCCGGCCCGGGAGGTTCTGTTGAAGCCGGGGTGCGATGCTTCTTCCTCACCTCTTCCTCCCGCAACACCGCTGTTCCTGCGGGCCGCTCGCATCGACAAGCCCGGGGTGCGTGTAACGGGGCTGCGGGTACCCCCGGTTAACCCCGGGCAGAGGGAATAGCTGCTGTATCATCTGATAAAAAGAAGTTTTAGCTGAAAAACGCCCTGGGGTGTAGGTCTGGGAATTGCCTGGCTCGCAGCGGATTTTCCCTAAGCTATCTCGTTCCTTCAATAAATAACTGCGGGAACAGAGATCGCTCCCCAGCGAGCATTTCTAGGCATCATGCGGAAGCTGTGCTAAAAGCAAATCGCCTCCATCCAGCAGAACTTTTTGTTTAATGTAATATCATAATTAAAAGCAAATCCCCCGGAACTTGGAAATGATGTCTAACGGGATAGGAAGCAAAGACTGATGCCCCTGAGATTTCGAGTCCCAGTGAGCCGCCCGCCCACAGCGCCGTAGCAGGGCTGTTCCCAGATCGCTGTAACCAGGCTGGATGTGACCTGGTGGTTGGCGACCCTGCACATAGCAGGGGGGTTGAAACTAGATAATCACTGTAGTCCTTTTCAACCCAGGGCATTCTATGATTCTATGATTCTGTGAACCCCGGTGGCACTTTGTCATCTCCCAGTCTGACAGTGAAGGGGAATATCTCGTATTACCCCGCACCAAGAGAGCTCAAGCCGCCAAAAATCACATCCTCGTTGTTCGAAGCAGAGCGGAAAGACACAACATGTCCAGAACCAAACTATTTTTTGCCCTGAACACACTTCGCTGCAATCACAGCAGAAAATCCTAATTTATCCCAACGATCCCAATATAAATCCGCGCAGTCCGATCGCCCGCAAGTCCGAGTGTACGTTCTATCTTAAAAATACACGTCTGCGTGCATCTGTATCTCTGCATCTCACGGTGCGCGCAAACTTCTCCATACACACGTCCACACGGAGCCTTACACCAACGCGCTGCGCTGCGGCTCTGCCTGGGGAAGGCTGTGCGGGAACAGCACCACCCGCTCGTCCCCGCCCCGCCCGGCGCAGCGGGATGCCCGCGGGGCCGGCCCATCTCCCCACGGCTTCCCCGGCACCCTGGGGACCGAGGGAGAGCGGGGGCACCGCGCATTGCCGGGGCCGGGGCGGGAGGCGGCCCCGCTGCCGAGGAGGCAGGTACCTGTTGGGCAGGGCGGGGCGGGCTGCGGCCGCCGCTCGGTGACGGGGTGGCTGCGCCCCTTCCCCGCCCCAGCCCCGCGGCCCGGCGGGGCCCGGGCTCGGCAGCCCGGGGGGTACGGCCAGCGGCAGCCGGGCATCGCGAGGGGCCGCCCCGCTGCCGGCTGCGAGAAACGCCCCTAGCAGGAGCCCAAGCCCGCCCCGCCCTGCCCAACAGGTACCTGCCT